TCCACCTCCTCCTGCAGCCGGTACTTCTCCGCCCCCACCTCCGCCTCCTCCTGTAGCCGGCACTCCGCCGCCCCCGCCCCCACCTCCTCCACCTTCTCCTCCTGCACCTACTTCTCCTCCGCCCCCACCTCCATCTCCTGCTGCAGCCAGTACTCCGCCGCCTTCATCTCCACCTCCTCCGTCTTCTCCTTCTCCTACAGCTGCTACTACATCAGGTATGCTTCAGAAAGTTATAGTATCCACAGCTGCAAACAGAGATTTAGTATGAGGGGTCTTCGAATAACGGCAGCCGGCTCAAGCATGAATTTTAGCAGCACAGATGGCGCCGCTTTCAAAGTCTAAGGCAGTGTTCGCAGTTAATGTGACATGCACAAATGTTCAGAAATAGAAAAAAAAAAAAAAAATTCAGATGCGGGGGAAACAAGTTAAGCGGCTAAACGGATTCGATGCATTCCTAGTGCACTGAAGCAAAAATCTATGCGCCCTAATTTGGAGGTTTGCTTGCTCTAAAGCACTACAGTGCGATTTAACGCCATTCGGCGCACTTTTCCAGCCCATTCATTATCTTTCAGAAGCTATTACGACCGGCACTACACAAGAAATGACTACGGAGCTGACAACAAGCATCTCTTCAACTCCAATAACTTCAAGCATGCCAACAACTCCAACAAGGTCAGTAGCTTTCAGTTCAGCACCCTCGTCAACCTTAGCCAGTTCTGCTTCCTTAACTACATTATCCAGTTCCAGCGTCTCGAGCTCGGCTACACCTGCCAGCTCAATCGCCTCAACTGCGTCATCTGGTTCTGCAAGCTCATCAATGGCAGTTAGCTCAACCTCTTCCAGGCAAGCGAGTTCATCTACTCCAGCAAGTTCGATCGCCTCAACTGCGTCATCCGGTTCTGCAAGCTCATCAACTCCAGCTAGTTCAACCTCCTCAGCTGCCTCCTCCAGTCAAGCAAGCTCGTCCACCCCATCAAGTTCAGCAGCTTCCAACTACTGAAGCTAGCTCAACAACCCCAGCAATATCCTCTCAAACAAGTAATTTTCTGAAAGCGAGATTTCTTTCAAGAGCTATTTAAGCAAAGCTGAAAAATATGCATGAAAGTGAGTGCCGAATGCCCGGGCAGCTAAGATTTCTTTGCTCAGTTTAAACAAAGACCCAGGCTAGAACGCACTAGGCAAGCCGGTGCGAACATGCGTTTTTGCAGTATTTCGTGTTGTAGCAAGATTGCAAGGAATCACAGAAGCTAGAATTTGTGACGTCTTGCCCTCAAATTTCAGGAAGCTAACTGTGCAGCTACGTGGCATGTCAGTTGTAGATGTCGGCTTCATTGACCTGACAAATGGAAAGTTGCTCGAAAACGATCCAACTAAAAGAGCTGAATTTGAAATTTTTTAGTCGCACATGAGTAGGAAACGTTCCCGTAGAATTCCATCTTTTCAGCTTTTCTCTTTCCCAAGTTAGCAGTTTTCACGCCAAAACTCTCACGTGCCCATACGTGGAACCCAAACGGTTCTAAGGAGCTCAGTTTGGAATTTTTTGGTTGTACGTGAGCAGGGACATTCCTCTGAAGTTTCAGCTTTCTAGCTTTCCTCGTTCCCGGATTAGCAATTTGCCCACCAAAATTTTAAAGTGCTCGCATGCGAGGCCCAGACGTGCGTGAGGGCTGGTACCGCGGTTCTGGAGTGGCACTTGGCCGGAGAACCAACTGACAAAATTTTGGCGTCGGAGCTTGCTTGATTGCTGAGTTGAAATACTCGGGTAGACGAACACACACATACACACAGAGAGGGTCATTGCAATATGCGTTTTTATATTTGCATATTTGCAAAAATGCATAATAATTATATGCGAAAAATTACACAATTTCATTTGTTTTCCTTCAGGTTAAATGGCTGGATTTGGTCGCATGAACGTCTGACCCTGCGAAAGTACCGATAGACGCTTAAGAAAATTGAATTTTTGCTTGTCTAGTCTGCATGGAATTCGAGGAACAATTTGTCTAGGATAACTTGATGTTACTCTCGGAATTAGTGGGTGATAAAAATATTCGTAGATAAGTGGCTGCAGTAACAACTTCAAAATACAAATAAAATTATGAATAAAAAAAAGAACTCGGCCAATACAGGAATGTAAATAAATGCAAAGAAACACATAAACATGCAAGAGTTGCTTGGGACTCGTTTTTTCACAACACATGGTAAATCTTGGTTCACAGAATTAGCATAAGTTTGGGTGACGTTGAAGAGTAGTACTCTGTTCATATCCACACCTCCATGATGTTGCTGAATGTTACCAAAATTGTTGACGGTCTCCTGCGTACAGGAAATCAGATAAAAATATAAGGTTTACAAAAAAATCGCAATTTTCTGCATCCCAAGAAAAAAATGCCTTCACTCGACGTAAGAATTACCGAATAAATGGCCAACGCACGGGCTGCCCGTGCGAAGATGCGTTTTTTGCAGAGTTCCCCGCAGGT